TTTCACCTATAATTTGCATTTTTTTGTCTTTACATAAATTGATATCTTGAAAGTTTTTCATCCATTTAGTTCCTGATGCCTTAATTATTTTTTAATACGTTGGCATTACATTACTAACGTTTATACGTTACAAAATACTGTTAAATTCCGATATTTTTATAATTGATTTCGTGAAATTTTCGAATTACATTTCCCATGGAAATATACATTTTTGCATAGTAAGTACGCTAAATTGTAATCATCAAAGAAACACTCTAAATTATGTATCATATTTTACGTCTGCATGTCGTATAGTACATCAATAGGACACTTATTTTTATGTGGAGAACGTTGAATGTCATACTTTAAAATAAAATTTGCGTAAATAATTGAACAACATTTCTTCTTTATATGCAAGGAATTCTTACGGATTACTATTGTAAATAAGTAATTATGAAATTATACTTGACAATAATGTGTTAAGTTTGCAAGAAAAAGTACGAAGAAGTCTATTTAGCTGACACATAAATTAAATGTGTATAAATTTTGTGTGATTCTCTTTACGTTTACATAAAATATTGATGATGTTTAAATGTACATTTTATGTGTGCCGTTGAGAGTGGCTTATATTTTTATAATATTTATATATATATATTAATTATCTATTGATTTAATTAATTAATCTAAAATGTGGAAGCGAAATTATATTTTGCAACAATTCAAAAGAATTATTTTAAAAAATTGTCTAAAAGATCGTGATGTTTTTATCTACATAATATTTATTTATAAATTCATGTTTTATATATATATATATGTTTTTTGTGTAATAACTGAACTAAATTTAATGTAATAATTTGTGGATCTTTAATATATGTATATTTCTTTAATATTTTTTGAAATAGCAAAATTGTAATTACAAATCGCTTTTTGAGATTTTTTAATTTATTTTATTTATAAAAGAATGTGTGTTCATTAATAAAAACAAGAAGGAATTAATATTTTAAGTACAAGAAATGTCGAAGATTTATTAAGCGACAATAAATACAGAGTAAGATATATTGCATTCTTTTTGTTTATAAAGGTATATTATTGGCGTAAATTTTGAATCTCTTTCTTTTTATTCCTTCTACTGTTTTTTTTTGTTAATTAATATTCTGTTTTTTTTTCTCTGTTTCTACTGATATGTTTTTGTAATCGGGCATGTTTTATGATCTAGTTAATAAAATATAATACAAAACATATTCTACATTCATTATGTAATGATTTAATTATTGAATCTATTTTAGAATGCAAACAATTTACTTGTACTTTTTTTTATTAACAAATAATGTGGTACATTTGTATTTTTAGGACATAGATTCATACCTAGACAAGCGAAATCATAATGTGGACTATCATATTAGTATTCATCGGTTTGCTAAGTACATTAATACCGTCGACGCATTCTCAAGGTATGTTTTATATCATCTTTTCGAAACTACACAGATTCCATTATAATCTCGTCAGAAGCTTTGTTTAGGTTTTTCTTGTAGAGAAATCCAATATATCAAAATGTCATCCAAAAAAAATGCGTTTAGTTTTCTAGACATATATTTTCTGTATACCTATTTGTAATTAATTCTTATATTTTAAAAATTTATAATATGCAAAGTATACATTACGATAGAAAAAGGTACATGAATGGATAACATTTTCCTTATTATGATACTTATATAATACTGATATTATCATCACACAGTAATGTCGGTATTAATATAAAATGATATCATAGTACATCAATTTATCGTGTAATGAAATTTTTTATAATATTTTTCCGTTACATAGACTATCGAGAAATCACAGTATTGACGTAAAACTGTACGAACACGGCCAAGGCCAGATCCTTCAAATCGAGAGAACGAGAATTTCAAGTATGTTTGGTGAAGGTTGACTGTTACAACATTCTGTATCTTCTTCTTGGCGATCGGATACTTCTGAGAAAAAAACATCATCATAAGTTATGACAATTAGAACTGATCTGTATAATGTTATTGTAAATGTATATAAGATGACGTAAACTCACGTTTACTTTAAATAAACATTGAAAATTTCAGTAAGAAAACATTTTTGGAATCGTACTTTGGAAAAAAAATAAGACAGTTATTTTCAAGAAACTAGAAGTTTTAATTAAATATAATACAAATCTTGATTAATAGAAATTTTCATAACTTAAAAATTGCAATTTTAAATATCGATTTTTTAAATATTCCATTGTATAAATATTTCTTATTAATTAATAATAAATTGTTAAGATTGTTGTATGTTTATACCTAATTAAGAAACAGTTTGTAATATATAATATAAATTAAATAGTCATTAATACAAAAAAATGAATGAGTAATCATCACAATTTTTTTATTTCAAATATCAAAATTAATTAAATATTCTAATTGCATATATTAGGTTAAGTAAAAAGTCATCGCGTTTTTTTAAAAGACATCTATCAGTAAAAACCGCAATTATTTTTTTACCAACAATATAAATATATCTTGATAGAGTAAAGTTTCAGCTTTAAAAATCTCTTTTTTAAATTATACGATACGACAATTTTTAATGGAGTTATGAGCAATTAAAGTCAAAATAATTCTTTTATTTAATCCGCGATAACTCAGTAATCAAAAGTCGTAGGAAAATAAAAAAAAAAACGATTTTGTAGGGAAAGTATCAAGCTTTCACGATAGGTAATCGAAAATTTTCTCAAATTCGTTTTGGACACGTTACAAATCCACAAAGTGAGAAGAAAATTTTTCGTCTTTTTCAGCTCGTAGTTTTTGGTATGTAAAAATTATCAAACTCATATAAACTTAAAAAATGTGATAAGCTTTTAAAAGTAGAGATTTCAAGCTTTAAAACCCTTTTTTAAATTTGAATTTCATTCATTATTGACGAAGATATTGTATATACAACTTTGAGCTAAAAAATACGCGATGATTTTTTACTCAACCTAATAACATGATTGAATCATAATTAAATAATTTGCGGATATGGTTATATAATAATTTGCGACTGTTTTAAAACCGCCGTTTGTAAAGCACTTAATATGAACAAAAAGTATATAGATATAATTTACCGGAAAAAAGTACCTTATTTCATACAATAAATAGTTATATAATTGTATCAATGGATCTAATATAAAGAAATCATAGTTATAACATACAATAAGCAATTTTAAAGGGTCTGACTTTAAATTCTGCTATAAATGCAATAAGTTTCTTAAAATATAAAAAGATCGCAATTTGACAGTAAATAATAATTAATAAATATCTTGATGAAAATATCTTTTAATATATTTGTAAGATCCTTATATTAATATCCTTATATGAAAAAAAATCTAATAAATGTTGTCTTTGTTGAATTAGGGAAGAAGAAGAATTTACATTTTTTTATCTTTCTCCCTCTCTTTCTCTCTCGCTCTCTCTTGCAGTATGTACATGTGTGTGTGTGTGTGTGTGTGTGTGTGTGCGCACGCGCGCGCGCGTGCGCACACACACACACAAAACGATGTTCTGAATATTGTAATTTTGAGCGTTTTGTGCGAACTATTGTAGTAAATTATAAAATTCATAAGCGGTTCTATTTTCATTATTTTAAAACCCAAGTGATACTATTTTTATTATTTATTTAACTTTAATGATATATAACATTTATAAAAAAAGATTTGATATCAACTGGCGCTAATAAATTAAAAGTGTTTAATTAAAATATGATTATGGAATCATCTGCAATCACAAAACTAATTATCTGGATAATGCATCATTATATCGATTATTTCTTTAAACGATTGTCTTACGTAAAAATGATTCCATGCTCATATAACATCTCACTGCAGTTTTACAATTAATCCAAATATAAATATAAATTATTTATTAATGCCATAATGCGTGTGTAAAAGCTACAATTTTTAACCTGGACAACAGTTAAAAAAACCTAAGTAGCAAGATGACGTTTTAATAGTATCCTATTGAAGACTTGTGTATTTCATTAAAACGTTACGTCATTTGACGTCAGTTTGCTACTTGAGAATCATCAATATTGCGTACTGTTCGGACAGTTAGTTTCATGACTATATTTTAAGATATAAAACTTTATATTTTAAATATTTTATCTAATATATACTCTTGAGATGAGATTTTATTTGAATGACTACGAGTATAATAAGAGCCTAAAATAGATAGAGGAAATCAAACATCTCATCTCGTGAATCTTATTTGACAATAAAAGCTATTGATCAATAACGAATGTGTGATTAGTGTCGATACTTCTAAAAACCTTTGTATTAGACATGTAAACAGTTGACTTTTATCAATATCATGAGAAATTTTTTAAGCATATAATTCATAAAATCACGATTGTAAATTTTCATTATAACCAAAAATTCTTCTGAAGCTATATCGATGCGTACTTAAAAAAAGGGAACACAAATTATTTTAGTATATCTCGAAGAAACTTCCATACTAATCGTAAGTGCGTTATTATAATTCGTGTATTAATTTTTTAAATTCGAATTTTGGTAGATACATGTGAAAATCCGGAAGGACAGCTCGGTACATGCATCAATATCAGATCGTGTACGATGTTACTCAATCTCCTGAAATCGGACCCGCAAAATCCGCAAGTAGGCAATTTTCTCCGTGCTTCCGTTTGCGGTTTTGAAGGTAGTGATCCTAGAGTTTGCTGTCCATCCAATATCGATGGTGAAAATACAGACAATACGGATAACGGTTTACAAGGCAATGGAGAAATCACGAACACTCAATACGGTCCTTTGTATCCACCTTACTGCGGATACAGTAATGGAACATTAACTAAAATCGTTAATGGCATTCCAGCTAGATTAGGTACGAATCATTTTTACATTATGGGAGAACATTCAGAGTCTCAACACATTTCTCGATTGTTTGTCATATAACTGTTTCAGAATTCTAATTTTTTTTTTAAAGAAAAATTTATTTCAATTTATCGTAGAAAATTTAAAATTTGTTTTTTATATTTAAAATATTTTACAGGAACATTTCAATTTTATATATTTTTTTCCTTGTAAAATACTAAAGTATCTTTTTATATTACAATTAATTAAAAGTAAATTTTTTTTCCAATAAATTAATATCTCGAGAAATATAAGTAACTATATATGTTTCATTTAAAATAGATTCTGATAGAATTTTAAAATTTAAGTATAATAATTAAAATGTTGGTATTTACTTATTTACAGAAATAATTATAAAGGTGGCTGAAATCCATAATATATTGTTCTGACACTTGATTATACGTACAATCGTCGATAATCAATTAATTTTGCAGGTGCTTGGCCTTGGATTACTGTTCTCGGATACACAAACTCAAAAAATCCAAACGTTCCAAAATGGCTTTGCGGTGGCGCTTTAATTTCCAGTCGACACGTACTTACCGCTGGACATTGCGTTTATGGACGGGCGGATTTGTACAAAGTGCGTATTGGTGACTTAGATCTGAATAGCACCAACGACGGGGCAACTCCGTTTGAAGATTTGATCGAAAGGAAAACAGTACATCCCAACTACAATCCTAAGACTTACACAAACGATGTGGCAGTTTTAAAAACGACCCACGAAGTACCCTTTACGCGTAAGCTTTTTTATTCTATTCTATTTTTTATAAAAAAGGCAACAATTCCCTTATACATTTAGCAAAATTGATTAAATGAAGAAATTTGATTGGTGTGAGAGATTAGCATTCGTTTATATATATATATATAATTGGTATCAATTCTGTTCTCTCAGCGTACAATGGGTAAATTCTTCTATTGCCACAGAGGAATGTGATTACCATCATTGCAGATTGAGATCAAAGTATGACCCTTTGGAAATTATTAAAGTGTGAATTGTATAAATAGATAAAATAATTAAAATTCGAATACTCTATATACACACACACACACACACACACACACACACACACACACACACACACACACACACACACACAAATCTGTCATTGCAATCATTACTTTCGGTATACAAGCACTCATCGTTATATTAAGATACAACTTGTGAACTTATTGTTAGTCATATCTCTTTCCTATATAAATTATAAAAAATTATAAAATTATTAAAATAGATATATATTAAGTTCATAAAATCGATAAGACTTTAAAATTAAATTACGAGAGTGGTTTAAATATAAACTTTTTTATGTATATATAAATCAACATTGGCACAGCCGTATTTACACTGTGATTGGTGAAGAATGTCTGCTCACGCTCTACGTAGTTATGGCCTCGCGGCAGTCTGTAGTTGTGTGTTGCAATATTCGAACAAACAGTACCAATTACTGAATACGTAATTTTCAAAATTAGTTATTACTGTATAAGGATATAAATTCTTTTGCCTTGTAATATGGATTAATATTTTCTCGTAATATAGATTAATATTTTATAAACTTTTAGAATTACTGCATCCCATTTGTCTTCCGATAAACGATTTTATCAGAAATAAAGATTTAGAGAGGACATATCCTCTCGTTGCTGGATGGGGATCAATTTATTTTCGTAAGTAATGTGAGATGAATTGAATCTTGCTTAATTATAACCTAATGACAAATATATAAATAATATTTTTTACTCTAGAAAAACGCTAAGTTTGTTACTGCTTTTTGTTTTTCAGACGGACCAACAAGCAGTCGACTTTTGCAAATACAAATTCCTGTACGGACACAGGAAGAATGCAAAACAGCTTTTCAGAATTTTCCGACAACGGTGATTGACAATCGCATTTTATGTGCTGGATTTTCTCGAGGTGGTAAAGATGCTTGTCAGGTGAGAGAAAAGAAATACTAAAATCATGATATAAACAGTTAATAAAAAATTTTCTCTCTCTCTCTCTCTCTCTCTCTCTCTCTCTCTCTTTTTAAATAAAGTGTTGTCTTCTTAATTATTACACTATATTCCTTTATTGTAAAATTACTTTATTGTAAGTTTGTATAATTCTATCAATTTTCGAATCTTTACTGATGTGTATGCATTCATTATTTATTTATTTATTTAATGATATTAATAACATACAATGAGAAACAAACTCGTATTAATATATAAATATAATATGTATAATATATAGGGTGTCCCGAATTTAAATGGCCAAACTTCGGGAGCGTATATAAGAATCAATAAACTAAGAAAAAAAGTCCTTTAGAGATACGCTCGTTTTTGCTTCATTTTGAAAGAGAAAATTGCAAAAAAGGACAAAACGTAATTTTTGGAATATTATTGTTTTCAAAGCAGAATATTATTTTGTGAATATTATTTCTATGACTTCAACGATAATGCTTGCAGTGTAAGAGTATGTACGTCGATTACCAAACAGGAAAGTGCCGTGAATCGACAAATCATTACTACATAGACCAAATAAGTGTTTTGCTACAACATGAGCTGTTCGTACAAGATGCCTGCGTTGTCGCAAGAGATCAACATTTTGAACAATATCTGCATTACAAGTGACACTGAATAAATATGAATGACTAAATAATAAATAAATACAAAAATGAAAATTATTACTATTTGTCTTGTTTGTGATTTTCTTCAAAATGTTACAAGAACGAGCGTGTCTCTTAAGAACCTTTTTTCTTAGTTTATCGATCTCTTACACACTTCCAAAGTTTGGCCATTTAAATTTATCTCAGGACATCCTGTATATAAATATAATGCAACCATTCTATTTCCAAAATTAAGATTTAAAAAGGGAAAAAAAAGGATCAATTTTTAATAATTTGTATGCGTGCTAGATAATCAAATAAACCCCAACTAAAAGTAACATAACATCAATATGTTATAATTTCACGCTCAATAAAGTAAATATTATGTAACACTCGAGATATATTTTAACATTTTTGTTAGATATATGTATATTTTAACATTTATGTTGAATGTGAAATTAATATTGATGTTATATTATTCTTAATTGGTGTTTATTGGATAAATACAATTTTATTAATGCGTTTCTCTTACGATGCAAAATAATTTTCAGGGTGACAGTGGTGGACCGATGATGTTTCCTGATTCTCGAAATCAAAAAACGTTTTATATTGTTGGAATAGTATCATATGGTTTCAAATGCGCTGAGCCAGGTTTTCCAGGCGTTTATACAAAAGTTACGGCTTTTCTAGATTTCATCACGAGTCAATTAGTATAAATATTAGGTTAAGTAAAAAGTCATCGCGTTTTTTTAAAAGACGTCCATCAGTAAAAACCGCAATTACTTTCTTACCAACAATATAAATATATCTTAATAGAGTAAAGTTTCAGCTTTAAAAATCTCTTTTTTAAATTATACGATACGACAATTTTTAATGGAGTTATGAGCAATTAAAGTCAAAATAATTCTTTTATTTAATCCGCGATAACTCAGTAATCAAAAGTCGTAGGAATATTTAAAAAAAACGATTTTGTAGGGAAAGTATCAAGCTTTCACGATAGGTAATCGAAAATTTTCTCAAATTCGTTTTGGACACGTTACAAATCCACAAAGTGAGAAGAAAATTTTTCGTCTTTTTCAGCTCGTAGTTTTTGGTATGTAAAAATTATCAAACTCATATAAACTTAAAAAATGTGATAAGCTTTTAAAAGTAGAGATTTCAAGCTTTAAAACCCTTTTTTTAAATTTGAATTTCATTCATTATTGACGAAGATATTGTATATACAACTTTGAGCTAAAAAATACGCGATGACTTTTTACTCAACCTAATATCTTGCTTTAAAAAGTTGAAACTTTTTGTTTCTTTGTTAATGTTTCACATTAATTCTGAAAATTACATTTTTTGCGTGAACTTTATTGTGGTATGAACAATCTTCCTTGTATTATAGATAGAATAAACCTTCCATAATCATTTTATTTGTAATTTGTGAAATATAAATCCAATCATAAAAAATTGCTAAATTAACTAAATAAAACTTTTTTATAAATAAATACTTATAGATAAATACTTTTTTATACTTTAAATTAATCCTTAATTTAAATTGATCAATCGGATATCCAAGCAGAATATTAAGTTATTACAATATGATATCAAAATAATTTCAAAATGATCATTAAAAGTAATTTTTTAATCATTTTCGATTCATTTTAATGTTATTTTGACGTTTAATGTGACTTGTTGTTCTGCTTGGGTATTTAATCTATATGGGAAAAGGACATAAGCATATAAACAAATATAAATATAAGTCATCTCAATATAAATCAATTAGATAAATTGATTTATATTTATATTTGTTTAAATTTTTATTTACTGAAATAATAAAAAAATTAGGATACATCATAATAAATTCTTTCATATACATATGTTTAATATATAAAGTATTTGTACATCCGTACACCCACTTAAAAATAAAAAGGAAAGCAGTTTTTATTTAAAAAATGTTTTAAATAAAAATTATATAGTCTAAAGTCTAGAGAAATACAAACATCTTTATATAAGAAATAATAAATATCCCTATACTCGTATAATAATAAGGATGATAAAATTCTTATTATATAAGGATATTAATTATTTCTTATTTTAATTTAAAAAAAAATCGATTTTTTTTAAAGTTAGAATTATGAAGTTTAATGTGACGTCTGCGCCTTACAGCATTATACTCACTTTAGAACTGTAGAATGATAACAGTTTTGAATCCTATTTATAGAAACGGATAAGTCAGTTGTTTCTCAAATTCATTGATAGAGGGCAACGGTAACTAAAAGTTACTCGTTTTTAAATTACCTTCACTAGTATTATAAATATGGCTATTGTAAGATAGAAATCTTAAGATCATGCTTCACAGGATCAGTTCTGTAGGAGTTGATCTCATTCTCCCTCCCTAACATGGGAGTTGATGTAACCACGACGATGAGTAACAGTCCTCTTCTCTGAGCGTGAGAACGACATGAATTCTCGAGGTATTTCGAGAGCTCTGTCATCAATGACCGTTCACTGTCTGTACCTAGTGCAGAAGGGATGGGAAGTAGGACTTTCTGAGTGGTTTATAAACCGGTAAATAAAAAAAAATTTGTATAAATAAGAACTAACGACTATTTCTGAATGGTCGTAGAATATTAAATATAATACTTACGTAGGCGGAATGAAATTGACTGCACAATACAGTTTAGTGCCAAAGGTCTGGGAATAATTGAAGAACGGTGACATTATCGACAATTGATATAAATTTGCAATTATTAACATAAATATATTATTTGGATAATTATTATTAAATTCATGATTTTTTTATTACGTAAGTGCTGCATAAATAAGTATATATGTTCGTAATACTTATAATATTTTATATATTGCTGCAAAATTACAACTTTTTTCTCTGTACAGTTATCTTCTCTCTTAATCAAACTCGGATGATAACATTATAATAACAGTTTTAAATAAAAATTAACTAAGTATTATTGGATTTTAAACGTATATACATGTTTACAAAACTAATAAATCATAAAATTAGTACTATTATATTATCAGTTTTTTAGTCTCTCTTATAGTCATTTAAATTTTAACAGTTGCATGAACTTTCGTAAGACTGGCCGTTTTTAACAATAGGAAGTTTTTGCAATACCGTACATCCAGATACGAATTGCATATGTGCAGTTTCGACTTTCCACTAAATAACGTAACTTTAGCGTTTACCGTATCTGAATACACAGAGGTCTTTAGTATCTCGTCGATAACGGTAACAAATTACAGTTATTTTGTATAATTACATTTTATATTTTAAATTTATATTTGAAAAATTTATAATTGTAAAATTTTTTGACTGGTCTTATTTCAGCATTAAAAAAGTAACGAAAAGGTAACGAATCGTTACTTTATAAGAAATGGTAAGAGAAACGCATTATTTTTGAGAATCAGTAATTAATATAACGGTAATTATATATATAGTTACTTTTTTGACTCGGTAATGAGTAACGAGATAATAACTTAACTTTTTAAAAAGTAACTTTTCATTCTTTGTCTGGAAATAAGCAGAACTTGTTGCAAGAAAGGTGTGTGTAGTATATTAGAGATCGGTAGTGCTTTTTGGAAAAAATTAAAAGTTGCAAAATCCTAGTGTTATAAGTGATTTCAACGAAAATTTGATTACCTTAGTTGATGATTAATTTAATCGGCAGAATTCCAAGTAGAATAATAAGTCATAGCAACGTCAATTAAAATGATGTTAAATTGACGTTAAAATGAATCATAAATGACATTTTGGAGTCATGTTGATATCATTTTGATATTATAATGACTTGTTGTTCTGCTTGGGATTGTACAAAACAGAATTTCTAATATAATTCTGTAATCTAATCTCTTCTAACAACAACAACAAAATTAATTTAATAATACAAAATCTTATTGTTAATATAAAATAGATACAAGCATTATTTAATAAATTAATCGTCGATAAATTAATCAAAGTTTGTGATTAAAGTAGGCTTACCATCGTTGTTATAAGCAAGTAATCTACAAAAAATATAAAATATATCTCTGATGAGTGTAGATAAAACAAAAAGTGTACTATATATTACTTATTACTATAATATTATAGAAGTGTGTGAGAGTATAACTGTTAGTTGATCCAATTTTGTAGAAAATCATAAAAGAATAAATTAAACTACTAGACTGAATGAAGCTCATGATAGTATAATACAATAATTCATAACAATACAAACACATATACAATCTCATTTTAATTAAAACAGCTAATTTCTGGAAATCACGAGATTTGAGAAAAACAATATTTCAGACAAAAGTTGTAAAATTCGAAAGGGGAATTTAAAGTAATCTTGACTTGACCTAAGGTTACGTTGAATTTTTTAAATGAAATTCTCCCTATTTTTCATTACATATATGTAGCTTATTTAAAAAGCTCTTCAAGACACTATAATGAAATGGTTTTCCATTAACTATTTTTTTAATTATAAAGCTTGAAAGTACCGCCGGTATTAACTGCGCGTATTATCCAACCGATGCGAGACGGCTAAAACCTTTTGGATATTATTCAAGATCATGACCTAGATAACATTTGTTAAGATCAAAGTTATGGAGATTGTTCCTCTTATTTTCATTTTTACACTAAACATTTATTTTTACATAAAAAAAAGTAAGATGTAGTACAACTGTTATATTTATATTTCTAAAGTTTTATTTTCAGCTTTTGTTTAAAAAATATCGTCCAAATTGAAGTGATAACGATATCGATCACCTTCCTGTAATAATTATCTATATAATGAAATACTTCCATTGTCTACAATTGTTATACATTATTTTTATAGTATAAAGTATTGTTAGCTTTACATTGATGCGATACATGATATATGATATCCATGCACCATTATTATTTAACAAATTGATTAATATTTTTACTCAAGGATTCAATTAGCAAAGACGTATTTTTTTAAACATTTTTCAAAAACATTTTTAGCAATATTTGAAAAATATTTAAAACCTGAAACTAATAAATCTAATAATATTTTAAAATATTTTAATCTTGCAAAATAATAAAATTATCTCAAGAATTACATATTTGAATGTTCAGTAAATATATGTATGTGTACATAATGAGGCGCGCTCGTTTGACAGTCCTAAATAGTCTTTAGATTATTAGATATAGATAGTCCTCACAATATGAACAATTTTTCATAAATTTATTACTTTTTGAGTTTCATTTTTGAAATTTACTGGATTCTTCATAATTTTAATATTTTATATATAAAATTATTAATGAAATCTTAATTAAATAATACTAAAATGTGTTAATTGATACAGATTTCAATATGCAATTCAGTAATATTTTGTTATTATTTATTACAATTTCAGTAAAAAATTTCTATCAAGATTCTCTCACAAATATAAACTAGTAAATATAAACTAGTAAAGATAGAGGAAAGTTATATTGCATATTATATTATTTTTACCTTTTGTTTAAATAATATTAGCTAAAAACAAAGTGGTATGTCGGTATCGAGTATATTTAGTAGGAGCAGTGGTGACTCATATTAAATTTGACATCTGAGCCGTAGAAGGTGCTATAGCGAAAAAAACATAAAGAAAAGTGTAAAGAAATGAATGAAAAGCGATCTATTTAGCTTAAGGCGTGAAGACTGGTCTATGGGTTTGAGCATAAAAATTATTATAACACTTACTTATACTTAAATTGTAAATCGTAAGTAACGCACAAGCTTTTGTGTATGACGTACAACTTGTTGCTGTGTCTCCAAGAGACGGCAATAAATCGTATATCATACCTCAAAGCTTATGCGTTACTTATGTCTACAACTTAAGTCTCTAAGTAAGTGTTACGACAATTTTTGTGCCCTAAGTCGGAATGCATGCGAAGTACAGTTTATATCGAGAAAGAAGAATGGTTCAAGTCACAGTAAACGATAACATAAACTGTATTGTTTATTGTTGAATGAATAGCGCTAGACAAAGTGTCTCGAAATTCGTAAATATCGCAGCAAGAAATTCTTAAAAAAATAAGTTATTAAAGTATTTATAATTTATTGTTTCGTGCAGTATAGTGCAAGTAAAATAAATTTAAAAACTGATCAATTATTTAGATTACGGTTAAATAGTCTTAATAGTTTTTAAAGTACAGATAAAGTTTGAAAATTAGCTGATATAAATACGATTAAATGGCCTCATTCACCGTTAACCGTAATCTATAACATAATTGGCCAGTTTTTAACTTTATCTGTATTACAAAACCTACTAAGGCTATGTAACCGTAATCTAGATAATTGGTCAATTTTTGAACTTATGGTATTTTACTTGCATGGAAGACTACTGCACGACAAATCGCAAATACTTTTATAACTTTTTTTTTTATATATAATAATTTAATTTATAAATTTCGAGACGCTTTGTCTAGCGTACATCTCTATTTATTTAATAAAAAAATACGGTTTAATAATAAAAAATACGATTATATTATTAGATGCATTCGGAGAGACACTACTAGCACTATTGATGTTATTCTATGTTTTCTCTTGATCTTTTATTAGACGTAAAACGAGAATTGAATAATCCCTGAATGCATCTAATAACATAAACCATATTTTTTATCATTAAATAAATAGAGATATGCGAAGCTAGACAAAGCGTTCCACCATATTTTACAGAAATCATACCAGTACCATATTTTACAGAAATCATACCAGTATCATATTTTACAGAAATTATGAAAAATATATTCTTAAAATTTTAACAGCATAATAAAATACAATTTTCTCCTTTTCTTATGTAATTTTTTGCATTATTATAATGTTTTAAATGAGGAATATTGATATGGCGGGATTTAGAAAATTTCATCGTTCACACCATACTGAAAAAATCCTCATTTTAAACATTATAATAGCGCAAAAGAATTGAAGAAATTACATAAGAAAGAGTGCAGTTTATTGTGCTATAAAAAATTTAAGAATATTCTTCATAATTTCTAAGTTATGAGCAGTAGTTCAAGTAAAAAGTGGTGCGATTTCAGCAACCTTACCCTATAACTATTAAACCGTAATCTAAATAATTAATCAGTTTTCAAACTTATTTTACTTGAAAAACTACTGCACGGAACGACAATACTTTTATAACTTATTTTTTTAAGAACTTTGTTATAACGATATTTATGAATTTCGAAATACTTTATCTAAGGTATGTCGTTATTCAGTCAACAATAAAAATGATCTGTTATCATTTACTATTTAGATAAATGCTCATATACTAACTTTTCTTCTACCTTTTATATACAGAATGTAATAAGAAGAATCATTACATATATGTAAAAAGTATATAATTCCATTAAAAGAATAACTCTCTCTTCCATTAAAAAATAATCTCTATACAAACTTAAAAATTTTTCTTTTGAGAAACTGTTCTTTGTTCCCCTTCAAACCATGTACTATTTGTCTGAAACATTTTTCTGTCTCTTCCCTATTTTTTTGAACAATTAAAATACTCTGTATTACGTGAATCAAAAATATTTTCGATATTTATAATATTATATTCTTTTTCAATATATATATATATACTTATATATACTTATAAACCTTTCATATATAAACGTATAAATAATTTTATTTTAAAGATAAGAATACAAAACTTCAAAAACATTTTTTATGATTGGATCGGTATAATCAATAATAAATCTCTATTTTCATAACTTTTCCTGGACTTGATGAACAAATAATTGTTATTTTTCTGTTTTTAGAAGAATCCCGAAACAATTTTAAATTGTTAATTAGGTTCCGCCAATTCGTCCAAAAGTCGGTCCAAAACTTCCATTCCAAAAAGCAAAAAATCATCACTCTTTATATTATTTCAACAACATTTAATGTAAAATATATGTAACATTTTCTAATGTTTTTACAACTATATTTACAAAAAAACTATATTTATATAAAATATTTAAAATATTAATAATATATACAATATGAATAATAATATTAATAATATATAGAATAATATTAAGAACTGTTTACGCAATTAATTTTGATATAGTATTTCGGTAACAACATGACGAATTATCTTAACGTTACATATATTTGCAAAGTTAAATTTGGAAAGAAATTGTTTAATAATCGAGAAAAATATTTTAATTGTATTATGTTTAAAATATTTAGAAATATAATTTTGTTCATAAAAGAATCAAGTTAATCCATAATACGCTTATAAAAATGCATAATTATTTCTAAATTTTAATGTAAAAATATAATATATTATACATTTAGCATAACAAAATTTTAAGTAAAGAATTAAATGATCTTAAAATAATGATTATAAAATATCTTATATCGGATTTGTCTAATTTTTAACAAATATTATTTAAAAACTTAATTCTAATAAAACTGCTGCGTTGTGGTGAATTATCTTAGCGCAATCATTTTCGTCAATTTATGACGTATTTCGTCAATTTATGATGTATTTCGTATTATTGATTATTTCCTGTATTATAATGTTTCCATTTTGCATTTTGCTCGGAATAATACAAAATAAATGTGACATTATTTGTTAAACTATTAATTACTTCCTCATCGTTACTTCTTTGTTCATTATACGGCAAAATTTTGATCAATTTATGATGTACTTCATTATCAACCACTTCCTGTGTTACAATATTTCCACTTTACATTTTGCTAAAGATAACAAAAAATAAATATAACATTATCTGTTAATTAGACTATTAATTACTTCCTCATTGTTACTTTTTTGTTCGTTATAAAACGAATGCATCGGAAGGGAGCAATTCAGTTCGAGAATAATATTCCTCATTACAGCTCTTGTTGATTAATCGACTGCTGTCTTCCCGAATCTTCGTACTATTTGTGTGTAAGTATGTAACATAATAATTCTTTACTTAGTATATTGGAAATTAATATTAAAATTTCTTATTACTGAGTAATATTATAAATAATTTTAATATTGGAAAAAAAATTATTTTTAGTAAAAAAAGTTAATTTTTTAAATATTTATAGCATAATAAGAAAAGACGACACTCGAAATAGTTTCTACTTTCCTCTGCTTGCCATGCCGTCTTTATTACATTATTGGTGGCAACTATCAATAGACATTTTGAGCTTGAATTTTACTTCACAGATAAAATTTAAGCTCGACACATTAAAGATAAATTTATATACTTGCCTGTCAGAAGTAACAAAATTTCCTACATTGTAAACAGAAACTTATCTCTACTAAAGCAAAAGAAAAGAGTTTGCCATAAAAGCTAATAACTTTAATTACTCCTTTTTTGTTTTTCAATCGATCAACCAAAATGATCTATAGATGGTATTCAGTCCGTTCTTATTTTAAGACTGCTTTCTAGACGGTGCTCATAGTCCGTTCTTATTTTAAATAATGTACTTAAGATACTGCCCTCTGATTGGTTTATATTAAGTCTGGACTTAAAAGAGTTTTAAATATAAGATTTGATTATATGGTTGAATAATATGGTCTCTATCTTTCGTCACAAACAAATATTCGATCTCAATTTTTACTCATAATACGAAAGTATTATCTGTTCTTTGTGGCTGAACTAACTATGTAACTATGTACAGTCAGCAACTGGAAGGTTGCAACACTTTTTTTATGGATTTTGGAATGCAGCCTAGCTACTCATCGAGCGATTGGGTTTTACTTATGGATCCATAAATAATAACCAATCGCTCGGTGAGCAAACAGCATTGCGAAACCCATAAAAAAAGATGCACTTAATTAAAAACTTTTTATTCAATATTATATAATATTTTTTTAATGAAATAATTATATATGTAATGCCTAATATTAAGACTCTGCAATATATACATTAAGAAAATATAGTAAATTTTGTTAATAAAATATTGAATTGAAATAAAAATTTATAAGTGCTACTTTATTAATATACATATCGTATTTACATGTTTTTGAAAAGAAATTGGCAATTCAATATAGCAAAGTTAAGAATTTGTTTTTAAAATTATATTATGCGATGATTTTTTTAACGGAACTATGAACTATCAAAGCAAAAATGGAGCACATGCTCCATTTATTTAACCGCGGTATCTCAGTAATAAGAAATTTTAAAAACATTTTTTTAAAACAGTTTCGTACAGAAAATTTGGAGTTATCACATTAAAAAGTCTAAAATTGTTATAAGTCTTTTTTTGTCATAATAGACAACCCAGACAACACGCAAAATTTTTTGAAAAATATTTACAAAATATTTATAAATATTTATAAAACTTATTTTAAATATTTTTACATATTTTTGTCATCTTAGATTGCATAGAGCATAAATATTTATTATAGATATTATGAAATATTTACTATAAATCTTATAGGAAATGTTATGGAAATATTTAATAAGACAGATAAAAAATACTTACCAGGAATATTTATATTTATCTTAAATATTACATTAAATATTTGGTTTATCTTTTAATAATATTTCGAATGCTTTATATAAAATGTTGCATGAAATATTTATATAACATTTCACAAAACGAATAATAGATATTTTTCATAAATATGCTGTCTGGAGTGAGAAGAAAATAATTCTTATTTTGACCAATTTTCTATATGTAAAAATGATCAAACTTACAGAAAGTTAACAGACATATAATCTTTCAAAAGTAGGAAGCTTTTAAGTTTTAAAAAGCTCTATTTTTTATTTAAATTTTGTTAATATTTAACGAAGTTTCAGCTGTTCAAATTTTAAATCAAAATACTGTTTGATACAAATTTTTGTTTCAATAGAACACAAATATATCTTTTTATCGGTATAAATCTGGATTCTTTCTTCTAGCCCATTCTCTCTCCGCTCATTAATTTTTAAAATCGAATTTTACTGCTTTCTATATTTTTCATATTTTCTTATTTATAATTGAAAAAAAGTTTTTATGCTCTTTAATAAAACATGTATGATACAAAACATTTTGTGTTTTAAAATAGAATCCACATTTCATGTGAATACTACTTTAGATTACAAATAACTTATTTATAAATATATCTATTAATAAATAATAAAATAATATAATATATTTGCATTTTTAGGATATTTGGACAAGTGATCCACATAATGAGGACTATTATATTCGTCGGTTTGCTGTGCGCATTAATATTATCGTTTTCTGAAGGTATGCTTTTACAATCTTTTTGAAAACTTACAATTCCATTCTAGTCAAATTTTTCATTTAATTTTTTTTCGTATATGAATCCAATATGTCAAAATAATTTAAAAAATTGTTTATCTTGGTAGATAAACATTTTTCATTTGCCTACCATTTACATTAATGCGTATTAATGTTTTAAAAACTTATATATGCGAAGTATACATTGCAGTTGAACAAGATAACGAATTAATTAATTTTTCCATGTTCCGATGTTTACGTAATAAAAATACGAGCATCATAATGTTGGTATTATTATAGAATAATATCTTTTCGGTGTACATAATGTATCTGAGCGGTATATACATTTGTATTCGCAAATTTTTGATATATTAAATTGTAATGTGTTGACTCTTACTTTGCCCTTTATTTATTGTTATTTATTTTGTATAGGAAAAGTCCTTTAATTCTGTTAAAGTCCTTTAGTTCTGTTATTAAATTGTAATTAGTTTCGAAAAAATGGTATTGCGCTCCAATTACCGCGCTGACTTCTCTCTTTTTGTACAATTGTTTTGGTGTCTTTTCGATGGTAAATCAGTTTATCACCTAATTTTTTATATTATTTTTTTGATGTTTTTTTTTGTTAGACTACTGAGAAATTATAATAATATTAACGTATTATAGAACTGTCTGAACATAATTAAGGCCAGATTTTTCAAATCAGTAGAACGAGGGTTGCTACAATACAGCTTTAAGGTGAACTACGCATAATTACTGCTGCAACTCCATAATTTGTAGCATTCGTATATGTATTATTAACAGGAAACTATTAAAACACTTCTACTCACTATTATCTCAAAAATAAAAGAGAATCTATTTGGGAACACGCGAATATTGCGGTTTAAATGCAAGCAATAATCAAGCGATACATAGAATATCCTAGAATTGCAACTACATCTATATGTTTACTTTAATTCACGTGCAATATTGTCAGCATAAAACTACAGTTAATGACCCGAGTTTGTTTTCAATCGGATTACGCATTGATTTATGACGCGAATATTAAGAAGCATACAGCGTACTTTGAAACATGCGCGCGCGCAGATACGCATTATTTACTACATATAATATTTAATATTTACTACATATTTTCTATACACACAAATAAAGACAATAAGGAGAGGAAGAAAAAAAGAAGACGGTGAATTGAATAAGAGAAATGGCGAAGAATATGAGAATGTGAAAAATCAAAAAATTTAATGTAAATAAAAAATTTTTTGGTTTTAGATCAATAGGCCAATCAATAAAGATTATTATTATTATCATCATTATTATTATTATTATAGGCAGTACTATTGGATTGAAAAGCGTTCGAGAGCTTCGTCAAAGCACGAGTTTTGTATCCGATCCTTTGTCTGTACCTCAGTGCGGAATCAGTAATGTGCAGATAGACAGAATCGTTGGTGGCACAGAAGCGAAGTTAGGTATGAATATTTTTTTCATTATAAAGAAGCATTTAAATAGTGGTAGGCGATGTTGCTTCGATTAATCAAAGTCTGATGGTCTTTGTAGAGACAGTCGAATTTTTCCCTACGGTTTTCATCTCAACGGGCTATCCAATTATTTTAAACGCGATTGAATCGAACATTATTTGTTTTTAAATTCGATTAATCAGTTTCATCAATCAGTCAAAGGCCGGTTTCATAGATATAGACAACATATAGTATAGTGCCGGCTATATCTTGCACGGCATGCTCGGTCTATCTATCTCTATGCTTCTAATCGATCAATTATACGATTTTATTTATTGTGTGTTAGTCGATTCGCATACTGACCTTACTGCTTAAATCTAAAGCGATGTCTACAATGAAACTTTTAAGATGTAAAACTTAAGCTTTAATTCTTTAAATCATAACAAATTGACCGATCATCAACAATTATTCTTTCCACATTTAATTGATTAATTTTTTACGACTGGAGACTTAAAGCTTAAGTTTTACGCAGCAAAATCTCATTGTAAACACTGCTTTATATGTGATCTACAATGAGCAGTAACAGTAGTGGATTAAGGAGTAGAAAGTGTTCCAATCGTAGTTGATTATTATCTTCACATTCAACTATGATTGGTTGATTTCTACGCTTACTCTTTAATCCACTACTGCTACTGCCAATTGTAGCACGTATATTATATGTCTTTTACAATGACATTCTACAGTAGCAGTAGTGAATTAAGAATAAGAAATTGACCAATCACAGTTGAATGAGAAGAATTGGCTGAGATCATCAATTTCTTAGTCTAAGGCCGGTTCGTAATCAATTCTTATTTCAAGACCGTTTTAAGTAATGTCTTAAGACGCTAATGTGGCCCTTTAATTGATCCGTGACATCTTAAAACGATCTTGAATATAAGAACTAAGTATGAATACCGACCTTAAAATCACATCATTACTGCTACTGCACATTGTAGACGATACATAACATCTTACTTTCTGTGCCATGGCTTAACTTGCTTGTATCTGTATAAATCAGTAGAAACGTCGTCAATTTATAAATTTTATGCGAGTATTATTAATTACGATCTGATAATTAATTTTTTCTCCCATGTTTTGCAGAATAATCGCTTATTCTTTTTATTGAAACATCCAATTGTGCAAAATCGATCATTTATTTGGCCTATTATTTAATAACTGATTATATTCACAATTTCCGTTTACAATCGTTCTTGCCCAACTTCGTCATCACTTGATTCAAAGTTACGACACATTTTTCAATTGCTTATCAAATAATTGTTTCAGAATTCTAAATTTTTTACAAAAAAAATTTATCTCAATTTTTCATAGAAACTTTAAAATCTTTTTTTATTTTTAAAATACTTTGCAGGAGTATTTTTTTATCAACGTTATATTTTTCTCTTGCGAGAATGTTGCAGCGTCCTTTTGCAATACAAATAATTAAGAGTAAAAACTTTTTTGAGTAAATTAATCTCGAGAAATATAAACATAACTTACTATACATTTCATTTTTAATAGATTATGATGGAATTATAAAATTGAATATATTTAATAATTAAAATAGGTACTTATTTTTAATTATAAAAAAGATTATATAAATGTAGTTCATTAGTATTTGTTTCAACATATGATTATTGTTGCAGCTATCAATATAAAAAACTAATTTTGCAGGTGAATTTCCTTGGATAGTTCGTCTTGGGACTGTGATGACTTTTGCACCTGGTGTGCAGTGGACATCGTGGATGTGCGGTGGCACTTTGATTACTAACACACATATCCTCACTGCCGCTCATTGTTTTTCTGATGATTTTCCTATTTCAATTTTTCCTGAGGAATATATAGCGCGTATTGCCGATCTAGATTTCGAGAGCAGCAACGATGGTGCACATCCGGTTGAAGTTCTCATCAAAGAGATAATGCTGCACGCTGAATACGACGACATCTCCCATGAGAACGATGTGGCGGTTCTAAAAATAGATCGCGAGGTACAATTTACATGTAAGTTTTTATATTCTATTCTATTTTGTTTTCAAAGTTATATTTGTCTTTTGAAGGAATAAAAATCAATATTTTCCTTATGTATTAAGCAAAATCGCGTGATATAAAATTTATTAAATAAAGAAATTTTATTTAGTGTGAGATAAAAAGAAAAGGTAAAAAATAAGTTAAATTTTACCAAGATTTTTAAAGAGAGAGCCTCGTGTAACCGGTTTAAAAAAAATCGTAAAATGTTTTTGCTTTAATCAATAGAAGACATGTAAAAAATTTCCAAAGTTACGAAACAAAGTTTTAAGGCATCTTTGTCTATCTCTTGAGCGTAAGTATACATGATTCTTTACTCATTTCTGTTTATAAATCTGCAGCTAAACTAGTATACACTTCCCAATGAGAAGTGACAATGGAATCGATGTCGAATCGACGTCAAAGATGATTTTGACGTTGAATCGACATCGATTCCAGAAAGATTCTAGAAATTAGAAAAGATTATTTAGAAATCAATCAAATTATACCGATGTAATACATGAAGTTTATCAAATACATTTGTCGCTGAATCTGTAAAATTAATAAAATAATAAAATTAATTTAAACTATTTTTATTTCATAAATTAAATAAAATTCTTTGATAAAATTATAATATTTTTTAAAGTATTTCTTTTTCTTAATCTTCAATTTTTTTCTTATTTTCTTGATTTATTAAAAAAATAATTTCATAAAAAATAAGTAATTGTGTATTATTGCCTCAGAGTATAAAATGCACTATAATTCTTGCATTTACAACTCTAGCAAGGAGGCTGCGTCAATATTCGTTATGAACTCTATAAATTAAATCAATTGTTTTTTAATGAAATATTTTTCCTTTACTTAAAAATGTGTAATAAAACGCAGAAAATCTTTAAAAAGATTAACTACATTGTTTTAAAAAAAAAATTCTATAAAATTATCTAGCTTCTTTTTAGTGATTTACACAAGACTCCCCTCTTAGAGAATTTGTTATTAACTTTCAGTCTGATCTCCTGCAAACTAGTCATTCAAATCCTATGCGAATCTTAATGATTTGATCTGATGAATACATATTATCGTTTCTCATTTAAAGAGTAATTATAGAAGTAAAAGAGTCGAGTGTTTAATTGTTATTCTTCTTCTTCTTTTACCCTTAAATTAGAATGATATGATCACATTCAGATACACAAATTGCAGAGCTTATCATTAATCGTATCTTTTCTATAAACATACACAGTACATTAAAATAGATATTAAATTTATAAAGTCGATAAAATTTTCAAAATTATTACGTGTGTCGACTTATGTTATAAAAATCTTCAGAATTAAATATTTTAGGACACAAATTCTTTTTTCTTGTCGTAATATGATAGATTAATAGATTTTATAAACTTTCAGCAACACTTCTTCCCGCTTGTCTTCCGATAGGCAATGTGAAAAATGAGAATTTAGACGGGAAGATGGCTGTCACCGCTGGATGGGGATATACTGAAGAAGGTAAATAATAATTACTTATTGTTGGTAATTTGTGGAATGAATTAATTCTTGCCTAATTGTAATCTGACAATAAAAATACAATAATCTTTGTATTCTAAAAACGCTAAAGTTTGTTTCATCCGTATTTGTTTTTCAGGCGGAACATCGCCCAGTACACTTATGGAAGCCGAACTTTCTATAATTTCGAATGAAGAATGCCAAGATGCTTACAGTGAACAACCGTATGCAGTTCTTGATAAGCGCACTATATGCGCAGCAAGTCCTGGAAAAGATTCCTGTCAGGTAAGAAAAAAAAAAGAAAATTATAAAAAATTAATAAAAGATTTGCATCATATCTTCATCTCTCTGTAAATAATTTAACAAACAAATGAAGAAATTAATAAAGAAATTAAGAATTCTTGATTTGTGTGTGTGTGTGTGTGTGTGTGTATGTGTGTGTGTGTAATATATGTATATATATATATATACACATATATACATTATACATTTTAATTAATTAACTCAATAATTTTGTATTTAATTTTAATTATTTTTAAATTAAATTTTGCCTTTTTAATTATTATTACCACTAGTGTTACTTTTACTATAAATTATTTCCTTAAATGTATGCGTGTGTGCATGCGCGCGCGCGTGTGTGTAATTCTGTCAATTTCCGAACTTCTATTATGAACGTTTTCATGATTTTTTTATTTAATGATGTTAATTTATAATATATACTATAAGGAAACAAATTTGTTATAAATTATAAATTTAATTTAGTGATTAATTTCTAAAATTAATCGTAATATTAAAAAAAGGAAAGAAAATCTTTAATAATTTGTGTGTACACTGCATAAATATTAATACATTTTACTAATACATTTCTTTTACGATTTGACATGATTTTCAGGGTGACAGTGGTGGACCACTGATGATTCAAAATGGCAATAAGACGTACGTTGTTGGAATAGTATCATGGGGCATAGGATGCGCTCGCCAAGATTATCCAGGCGTATATACAAGAGTTACAGAATTCCTACCTTTCATCGAGGAATGCATAGGTATAGAAATTTTTTTTATTAAAAATTAAAACCAAAATTTTATTAGAAATCAAAATTTGATTTCTTTGTTAATTTTTTTTATATAAATTTTAAAAACTATATGTCTTTATTACGACATGTAGACGATCTCTTTTTTTAATAATAAATTACATTGTCACAATAATCATTTATCAAGGTAAGGTGGTGTTTGACAAAGATCATTCGTACACTGAAAGAAAAGATTGGCTGCTGTAATAATCTAGATGATAAAATATGGTATAGCGTATTTTTTATTGGCTATTGCAGCCAATAAAAATGCTATACCATATTCAGCTGATCTTTCCTTTCAATGTATTGTTTTAAAATAATGAGTAGTGTTAAATTTTTAATAAAAATTAATGTTTTAATATGTAATTTATTTACGTACATCTAATATATGTTATTTAAAAAATATTTTATAAACAAAAATTGCAGACTTTATATAGTAACATATAATCTCATAGAATAAAAAAGTTACACAAACGACACATTGTGATGGATATCGCATATCAACTTTGAATTTTCAATTGTTATTACTTACAAATTATTTGCTGATTTTACTAAGAAAATGTTTCCAAGAAAATTTTT